ATACCTAAAAGCCATGGTTGAGGAAGTAATAGATCAGTGTGACATTTGTGCTGAGAACAATGTAAAAAAGGGCATCACAGTCCCAGCGGGACACATTCCAGTGCCCGAAGGTCCTTTCAAACATTTGGTCATTGACTATGTTGACATGATTAAGTCTGTGCATGGAAAACGGTACATGCTGGTGATCATTGACAGATTCAGTCGGTGGATCGAAGCCGTTCCCTCTAAAGATCTAGGTTCAGAAACAGTGGTAAAGTTTCTAGTCAGAGAAGTGATTCCTCGCTTTGGTATCCCGTCGGAAATAAGCTCGGACAATGGTCCTGCTTTTGTTGAAAAAGTCCTTAAAGGTGTGTTGCAACAACTAAGGATAAAGCAACGATTAGGATCAGTTTATCACCCCCAGAGCCAAGGGATGGTCGAGCGAGCGAATCTGACGTTGAAGTCTAAAATCTGCAAAATCTGTGCTTGTACTAACCTTAACTGGGTTGATGCATTGCCGCTTGCCTTAATGAGCTATCGCATGCAAACTAACAGAAGCACGCATCTTTCACCTCATGAGGTCCTAACAGGCAGGCCAATGCCAGCTCCTCAGCTTAGAGGACCCCACAAGGGGCCTTCGCTGGAACAGCTAGAGCTTGAATTCAAAAGCTATATCAAGCAACTAACCAGCATCCATAAAGCCATCTATTTGCAGGAAAAGAGAAAGGAGCTCGTCTCTAGCGCAGGCGCAGACGGGCCGGTAGTTCCTGGAGACCAGGTGCACATCAAAGTTTTCAGGAGGAAGTGGCACGAACCGCGACGAGAGGGTCCCTACAAAGTGGTTCGAGCAACGCCAACAGCAGTCCAGGTCGAAGGAGGATCGACGTGGCATCATCTGACGCACTGCACGAAAGTCAAAGACAAAACTCAGGGCAGTATCGTGTCTGACGTAACAAACCGGCATGATGGCCGGATGAAAGAAGGGCGTGCTAAGCCTGATGACAGTTCTGTTTTGGATGACACTAGGGGGTCTGATGATGGTGCTGGAGGAGGTGAAGATGGAGACGATGGCCGAGGAGCAACTCGTCGACCCATCACAAGAGCATATGCCAGACGACTTGGTCAACGACGAGGCAGCACACCGTGATCAAGTTAAGTACAATTCAGCAGGCCGGATGCAACATAGGTCGGCATCCCTGCCTGCATTCGACGTAGCAATTGTTAAAACTGGTGTTATAACCACAGTTCCAAGTAATGTTTTAACTATTAGCGCTACTGCTACTGTGATCCCTGATGTTTTGACTACCACAGCCCCTGTTGGAGAGGTGAGGGCCGACTGGAGCTCTTCCTCTCTTTTACAGCTAGTGACTCCACTGATTTTAAGATCTAAAACAACGCCAATTAGCAAGCTGAGAAGCGTAACCGCTAAGCCACCTGTCAGTACTACAACTCCCACAGGAGGTGTAGCTGTGAAATCTGGCTTTCCCACTGCAACCTCTGGTAGTAACCATGTTCGTAATCCCACTCAGAAAGGACAAAATGAACAAGAAGTGACCAATCGCAAAGCTGTACCTAAGCCACTATTTGGGCCAATTAGACCTAGGTCCGGCGGTAACACAGGGCCTATCTCCCCTAGAGCGAGCAGACAATTGGCTATGGAGGATAGGCTTTGGGATGCCGCCATGCAAAATAGTTGGTATAAATGGGCTTTTTATACGACAAGAGAAATGACTCCTAATGACTGCATAGTGTGCGCTCAAGCACCCGGAATGTTACCTGAGGTTGTTCCAGAAAAGTATACTTCTAGTGAATGTGCCATTACACAACGACGCACATGTAAGACTAGAAAGGAAATAGAGATAAATAAAAAGATTCCACCTCTTCTTAAGATGCCATTGTGTGGATTCCAATGCAGATTGCTCCATGGTACACGAGACAAGTACAAATATGTTGAAAAATATGCAGAATATAACATCCTAGAGGAATGTGCTGAATTTGCGATCCAAACAGACCAAAATGGTCCTCCAATGGACTACAAAATTGATTATAGTGCTGATTATGAATGTTTTGCAAGTGGAGGTTTCGCTGACGATGGAGGAGTGGACGTAGGTAATACATCTGTCAATTGTAACGTCACTTGGGTATTATCCTGGTTCCCGCATGCAAATGTGACACCACTTCTCATTGACACCCCTGTTTGGTATGAAAACCCTGTAACTCTTAGTCAGGATTGTGATGACATATCGATGACGATTCCCACTCTGGATCTCATAGGTGAGCAAGACATTCCAGTGGCCGACAGCTACTGGATGTGTGGTGGTGATGTTCTAATGAATGTTTTGCCAAGTTTTTGGGTTGGGTTGTGTACGCTAGTACGTATGAAAGTTCCAGTGACTATCTTGCATGAAGGTGTGAGTGAATTACTTCAGTTGGAGACTACCAATAGATGTAGGACAAAAAGGTATGATGTGTTTGATCATAAAGTGCATTTAAACGCCATAGGACTGCCAACAGGAATTCCCATAGAATTTCAAGCCAGAGATGAGGTAATAGCTGGTTTAGAGTCAATTCTTCCTTGGATAACAATAAATAAGAATGTGAAATGGATCAACTATGTTTATTTTAATCAGCAAAGAATCTTAAATTACACAGTAAATAACCTTGGCCTCTTGGGTGAACAACTTCATGCCACCGTCAAAATGACTTTGCAGCACGACCAGGCTTTGGACTGGTTGCTGGCCGAGAAAGGTGGACTCTGTAAGTTTCTGAACTCCAGTGGGCAAGAATGTTGCACCTACATTCCAAGTAATACGGCCCCTGATGGTGCATTTACTGAAGGAATGAGGAAATTGAAAGATTTAAAGATAGAGCTGAGGGAGAATGCAGGCAGGGAAAGCTGGTCCTTAGACTCCTTAGCCCTCAAATTGGGTCAGTGGGGAGCTATTTTGGTAAAAGCAGGAATTAGTGCAATAGTAGTACTAATTCTGATTTCTCTATTGGCATGTTGCATCCTACCTGTTGTGAGGAGACTGTGGGAGCGAACTCTGGCTGCCCAAATGAACCTTGCTGCGTCGTCTCAATATGTGCAAATGGAAATGGCCGCAATGGACTCAGCACGACACCCAATGTGCCTGAAGAATGGGAAGGCTGATGGGACAACGGCGGAGTAATCTTTGCGTCTCATCAGAGATGTTGCTGTTGTGGTTACATGCACTCGACTAAGGAATCGGCCTCAAAGTCCTCTTCCAGCGGCAAGACCCCTGCAGCAGTCATCAATAAAACTGAACTTGACTCTTGTGTTTTCTTCACCACATTTCTTTTTTCAGTTCTGCAACTGGGACTCTGACTCCGTTCTCTATTTCAGTTGAGCAGTTGTGTTGTTACATTAAGTATATTCATTACACCTCCTGTTGTGTTTAACTTTTATAGGTTTAGTCACTTCGACATCATCTAGTCGTTCATTCATATCCACGTCAATCATTTATTTCACATGAGTTTGTATTTTTGATTGCATATTCACGTACAGTTACTGGTTGCAATATTGCTAAGGGTAATTAATGCTCGATCATGCTTATGATTTTTGTTCTTTGTTGGAAGGTTTCATCAGTTTGTTTTCTCTTACGTGTGTTCTTTTGTTAATTCACTGTTACCAAATGTCTGCCATATACTTAGGCTAGGCTTGCATGCTCACTCTGTGCTTTATGTGATCGTCCTGTTTGGGGCCAGGAGGTCAAGGGGGAATTTTTCCTGTTAAGAACAGCGGACAGGTTTTCGCCCCCTTACAGTTTGCGCATGCATTTTGATGTGTTACTGAGCTGGTTAAAGACGTCACATTCCATATTGTGTTTTGAAGCTGATACTTACTTTGTGTACTCATCCAAGTGTTGGTTTGCAGTTACTTTGTCGTTACATATATACCTATATAGTTTGGTTGAAGTTTGTAGTGTATTTGTCATTTTGCCATTCAACACCCATTTACTGGTTTATGTTAACATTCACTTATGTGTTATGTTATATGTTATGTAGCCAGCTAATTAATGGGGGTGGACACCCCCATGGGGGGGATCTGTAGGAGCTAAAAGCAGTGTTTTGTGTACGTGCATGTTGACATGTTGCTTATCAATACCAGCCGTTTATCAGGCAGCCCAGCTGCTGAGTACATGCTCCAAAACATGTTGATCTGTCCAGCTTATGTAAGTCTCAACTACTTTTGACCATATTAGGATGTGGAAGTAGCACCCCATCATTTCTCAGAGGTGGGGGTTGAAGAGTATATGATGCTGCGTGGTGTAGGAGAACGTGGGCTTTGCAGGAGGATCTCCAGCCGAGGTGTTTAGATCGAAGCTGGACGCTGTCCCCATGAAGTGTTGGTGATGTATGGATGAGTAGTGTAAATAAACGCCCCACGCTGAGTTTGGACAAAACTTGTCTCTCTCTCTTGTTTTTGATAAGGAAAAAGAACCACACGTTTCCAGCGTGTCGGCTCAATCCACCACGCCGTTGCACCAGGAGCCTCCGTGCTCACCTCGCTCAATGGCTCCTTGGTCCTAGCCAACGCTCCAGCTCAAGTCGGACGGCCACAGCTCAACCTGTCGCTTCGGCCCGTCATTCACGCCGGGCGATTCCAGAGCTCCCACGCTCCTCAGCACCATCTTCAACCTCTAAACAGTAAGCCTGTTCCTTTTACCTTCTGGAACATCGCCACGTCCTCGTTTCCCTTCTTGGCTCGTGCCGGCGTTCCTATATTAAATGCGTGTTAGACGTCACCCATCTCTAGCACTTCCGCGTTTGGTTGTTGTTACACGCTACAGCCCTCCTCACTGCTCACTCAGTTGAGCCAAGGTGAGGAGACCTGACACTTTGATAGTTAATGTTTTTCTAATCCAAATGTAAGAATCTGACAAAATGACCTAACTTAGTAAAAATCCCAGTTATTATGCTGAATTTGTCACGTTGTGGGTGTGGATGACAGCGGACCGTGTGTGGAGGAGCTGACCCGGAGGCAAAAATGCAGGCTTGGATAAAGTAAAAATGGTTTTAATAACAGAGCGGGAACGACAGGACAAAAACAATGCTGACTACAAACACAATGATCTGACAAAGACTGATACAAGGAGGGAGGTATAAATACACAGGGCAAATGAGGAACACATGGGCAGGTAACAAGGGGCAGGTGAAAACAATAAGGACTAATCAAGGGCACGAGAGAGACACAATCAGGGAGGCAGGGGCAGACGTGACAGAATTGTGATCTGAGTGATGATGCTCCATCTGCTGGTTAAACTGAGGACAGAGTTATCTGTGGTTTGTCACCAGTCAGAAGTAGCTCCTGTTGTGTTTCTAAGGCTCACATCTGATGGATTCAGAAACACTGATTAGATATTCACAACATCTAATTTAAAACCTGCTCCCCGTCCATTTCCATTGCATTTAGAAGCATTTATTGTTTTAAAAATAATCTACAGCATGAATGAAAACAAAGAGCACAACGTTCGTTTAACTGAAAGTGACGGAAGTAGTCAGCATTAGTGGTCACTTCTTTTCTGGATCATCTCAGATCCTGTTCTTCATACTGAGTGAGATAGAAAGTGTTAATGTTAGAATATGTGCACACATCACAGGTGTTTATCTTACCATTTCAATATTGTTGTGTTCTGTTGCTGAATAAAGAGAAGAGGAGAAAACAAAAGGTTTATTTATTTTTATTCATGTCCCAGATAAATTTATTATCCACTAGCAGCTGTTTAGATGATACCTTTGACCAGATCCTGTACCTGCAGCCTTCCTCTGCTTCCACTTCATGTGTGTGTACAGTCCTCCTGCAGCTGCACCCATCAGGAGGACAAGATGGACACATAACCTGATAAGTGTCTGCAGAGCTGAGGAGAAGAAACACCTCATTACCTTTGCTCCTTCTTACAGGAACAGGGCAAAATGCACTTATTTTAGAAAGTTTAACAAATGATGAAATCCATTAATAATCCATACAGAAATCAGCGTGCCACTCCTTCAGGGCCATGGTTGAACCTTCTCTCTTCACTAAACAAATGAATTCATCTGAGCTTTGAGGCCAAACTGTGAGAAGCATCATGCTGATCAGTGTTTTATTGACAGTCGTTGATCTGCTCTGCCAACCTTCTCGACTGGTTCCAGACCAGCTTAGGTTAAAGTTTTCTTCACATTGTTCAGCACAAGTTAGCACACAGGTGAGCTTCACTCCTGCTGACGTGGACTCTGCCGTAACTGTAATGTTAAAAAATCAACAGGGATAATTTGGCGATCTGATGATGGTTTCTGGATCCATTTAGCAGTCTTGACCCTTACCATCGAGTGTGTGCAGCCTGATTTTGTTGAGGACTCTTTGCAGGCCGGTGGACTCAGTACACTGATATTCTCCTGCATTCAGAGGACTCAGTTTACTGATCACCAACGATGAGTCTTCATCCAGGTGAAATGCTTTTGTTGGGCTGGTTTCAGATGACATGTTTCTCAGTGGTGTTTTGTTCACAGTCCACTCTGTGTTGCCTCCAGAACTGAGAGAGGAAGTGCAAGTGAGTGACACTGACTCACCCACAGCAGCAAACACTTCCTCCAGGCCACCTACAGGAAAACAAACAGCAGTCAGTCCCTTTCTGTACTTATTAAAGCACAACCTTCACCTGTTAGCTTATTACCTTCTACTGTAGTCTCATAACTGACGGAGGCTTTAATCTGGTTGTTCTGTAGGACGTGACATTTCCACGTTCTATGATGGTCCGTCAGTTTTTTGGTGATGAAAAGTTTAGAGACGCAAGCAAATAGATTCTCAGATCTAAATCTTTGACCATTTAGTGGTTCATCATTCTGGTCAGTCCATCTGATGTGGATGTCTGAGTTTCTGCTGCAAGGCACGTATCCTTTAAATGTGTTCAGATAACAGTGAAGCTCTATTGTGCCCTCTGCAGGAGTTTGGCTCTCAATAACTTGTGAAAAATGAAACAAAATTAGTTTTCCATGAGAAACCAGAATATGAAATAAAGATAATCCTGCTTACCTTCAAGGATCCGAAGTGAAACACTTGACTTAAGTGATCCGCTTTGACAGGTGTACATGTGGGCATCATCAGGTTTGACTTGAGCGATTTCCAAGGAACAGTCCTTCAACAGATGATACCTGGCATCTGCAGATGTCACCCTTCCATCCATCACCACATCAGAAAACCAGCCGGGAACCCTTTCTTCCATCTTCCAGTTTATCGAGGAGCACGACTCAGAAGGTACGCCACATGGCAAACAGATACTTTGTCCTTCAGTGGAAACCACCAGAGATGGATCTGTTTGGAATAGAAACAAACAAGCATGCATGGTCTTACTTCACTTGTTGCTATTGTGTGGTGTTGTGTGTCGCATCGTGTCATTCTATAAACGTTGGTATAAAGTTTGTTTATATTTAATTTGTTGATTGAATTGACGTATAAATAAGCATCCATATTTAATTTCATTAAAACCAACCAACACACCATTCTATTTACCGACTGAGGGACAATAAAGAAAAGTTCTATTCTACTCTATTCTATTCTAAAGAAGTAAAAACTGACAGTAACTCACAGCTAACATCATTAAATACATCTGGGATGTTCTTTTGTGAATTGCTAATTTAATAGTATTTTCTGCGAGTTCTGTGTCTCTATTTGAACAATTTGGTGATAAAAACAAGGAGATTTTCCAGCAGGCCATCAAAAACCTCTTTTCATTTATTTAATTACAGCCATAATAACTAAGTAGCTACACTGGTGTTTTAGAATAATACAAAATGAAGTAGAACAGATACACAAGGTAGAACAATATCCAAAAATACACATTTACTAGAGGTTTGAAAAAGTTTCTGCTTAGAAAATGCTAATTACCAGTAGAATAAAGTCCAGCTGCTGCCCCTGAGGAACGCATGAGACAGAAAACCAACAATGACAGGATACTCATCCTTCTTTCATCAGATGTTTTCTGGTAGATGTTTCTTGCTTATTGAGACAAAAATGTCCCGTCAGCAATTCTTTCTTAAAATATGTCAGGAAATGACAATATGACACCCCACAAGGGGAAGCTCTGTTCAGATAAAAGCCCTGTTTGTTCTCTTCTCTCTGTGGTATTTTTGCTCTTTGTGGGGCGTTTGTTCGAGAGTTAGTTCTAATTCGTGAAATGATGAAAATCCACGAGTGACACAAACTTCACTGGAGATGTGAAAGTTAACATCTTCAAATATGTATGTGTGTTTTCCTAATAACAGAACCTGAGTGCAGACTAAAATGAAAAGTGAACTCATGTGGCCACTAGAAGGTGTCAGACGTTGTCACAGGGTTGAGTCAACTGGGTGTTTTATTTAGAAATGTTAGCAGAACGAGTCAGAAGTGTCTCAGAAGTATGGCAAGCCAAATGAGCATTTATTCTGATATCAGGATATCAGCCAGAATTGTCATGAACATGTAAGCCATTTCTGTCCACTAGTTAACTAGTTAGACATGTTTGTGTCAACTAGTTAAATATCGAGGGTGAAAATGTGCCCACTAGTTAACTAGTGACAGCAGAAATGCGCACTAGTTAACTAGTGAACACATTTAGGCTTCAGTAGTTAACTAGTTGACACAAAAACTGCTCACTAGTTAACTAGTAAAAGCAGAAATGCATAGCAGTCAGCTACTTGAAGGTATTTGTCTCACTAGTTAACTAGTGAGGGTCAAAATGTGCACACTAGTTAACTTGTGGTAGACATAAATGCGCACTAGTTAACTAGTGAACATATTTTGACTTCACTAGTTAACTAGTTGACACATAAATGGCTCACTAGTTAACTAGTAAAGACCAAAATGCATACCAGTCAGCTAGTTGAAGGTTTTTGTGTCTCACTAGTTAACTAGTGATGGCCAAAATGTGCACACTAGTTAACTTGTGGTAGACATAAATGTGCACTAGTTAACTAGTGAACACATTTTGGCTTCACTAGTTAACTAGTTGACACATAAATGGCTCACTAGTTAACTAGTACAGGCCAAAGTGCATACCAGTCAGCTAGTTGAAGGTTTTTTGTGTCTCACTAGTTAACTATTGATGGCCAAAATGTGCACACTAGTTAACTAGTGAAGGCTTAACTCCTAACTAGTTAACTAGTTGGAGTAGGTCAGTGCCACTAGTTAACTAGTGAACCATTAATGGCTCACTAGCTAGCTAGTTGATGGCAGCAGGCTCACTAGTTACCTAGTTGATGCATCCATTGTCCAAACTAGTTAACTAGTGAGGACATAAATGTATACTAGTAAACTAGTTCAAGTCTACATTCACACTAGCTAGCTAGTTGCGCAGAATTCTAATTAGGAGGCGGAGAATTTCTCAAATTAAGAGTCTCTATTGGCTCCCTGTGTCAAAATAAAATATGACAACCAATCACAGTGCGGAATTTCGTAAAATCCCACCCCAAACATTTGCATGCGGCACACAAGTTAACATGCTGGCCAGAGGAACCTCAGCTAGTGAACTAGTAGTGGCTTCAGTGTGACACTTACATGTAAACTTGTGAAGGCGGAACTGCTCACTAGTTAACTAGAGAGGGTACAAATGTCCACTAGTTAACTAGTGAGGTGCAAAATAAGTGTCACTAGTTCACTAGTGGGCCCCAAATCGCCTAACAAGTTAACTAGTAAGGTGCGGATATGCTCACTAGTTAACTAGTGAGGTGCAGATTTGCTCACTAGTTAACTAGTGCGCCCTAAAGCGCCCACTAGTTAACTAGTAAGGTGCAAAAAAGCATCACTAGTTAACTTGTAAAGTGCAGATATGCTCACTAGTTAACTAGTGGGCCCCAAAATGTCAACAAGTTAACTAGTAGGGTGCGGATTTGCTCACTAGTTAACTAGTGAGGCACAGATATGCTCACTAGTTAACTAGTGACGTGCGGATTTGCTTACTAGCTAACTAGTGAGGCGCGGATTTGCTCACTAGTTAACTAGTGAAGTGCGGATTTGCTCACTAGTTAACTAGTGAGGTGCGGATTTGCTCACTAGTTAACTAGTGAGGTGCAGATATGCTCACTAGTTAACTAGTGCGCACAAGACGCACACTAGTTGCTGTTTTTGGAGCAATCTAGTTTACTTGTTATGTAAAAATGTGTTCTTACTAGTTAACTAGTGACAAATTTACCTTCACTAGTTAACTAGTTGACATATTTGGCCTTTCTAGTTCACTTGTAATGGGACAGGAAGCACTCACTAGTTAACTAGTGAGCATATCTGCATTATAATTTTTTCTCAGTAGCTTATAGAGGGCAAACTGAGCCTTACATGTTAAGTAGTGAACACAAAACACTGTCACTAGTTAACTAGCTGCAGAAAAATGCCCCTAAAACTAGTAAATTTGTGGAATTTGAATAAATACACACTTGGCTGGCATTCTGTGTAACATGTTAACTAGTTCGACCGCTGTACTGCTCACTAGTTAGCTAGTGAGCAAATCCGGCCTTTACATGCAAATGAAGAAATGCAGAACAGCAATGTGATTGGTCCATTTAGGACTGAGAAACAGAGAAAGTATGGCGAACTCTGTTCAGGCTGTTCTAAGAGAAAATTTGATAAACTAAGATCGTTTGAGCATATAAATATGTTTTGACGATATTTGTAGCGAGAAAGTTGTGGTGTATTGCTGTAATCTTTGTTCAGTTAACGTGTGCAGTCTTTAGTTTTCAGTTATTAGTCTGAAAAAGCCTGGAAGTGGAAGGCAGCGGCAGACAGCATGTCTGTTTCTGTTGACAGGAAAGTGCAGAAACTCCGCAGAAATCTCCGTCAGATATATTGTTTCACATTTGTACGGAAGCGACAAGTTTATAATAATAAAAAAGGCTCTATTTTACATACGTTGCTGTAAAGCCTGCCAGCACTCATGGTGTTTTGAAGGTATGAATTTGCGAAGAGATTTAGCACCTAGTGCTGGTGGTCTAATGACTAACGCGTTCGCCTGCAATGGTGAAGGTCACGGGTTCGATCCTGGTTCATACACTTTAGTTTTGTACATTATTTCACTTCTTTTCTTTTGCATAATTTTTGTATTTATGTCAACAAGAAACAAAATACGTAACGGATTAGTGGGCAGAGTTACACACACACACACACACACACACACACACACACACACACACACACACACACACACACACACACAAACATGTAAACAAGTATTTTATGAGTATGAATCTGATTATTGCCGACAGTCGATATTTAAGCATGTGTGTCCTCCTTCCTCAATCCATCCTCGCAAAATAAAATCATCGGCACAGCACAGCAGGCTTTCTCTTGATCCAGAACTAGCACTTCGAAATTGATCATGTCCGCGGCCATCTGCTGCACAATCAGCTGCTCGCATCGCGGGAAACATTGAAAACAGCTTCATGAACTGAGACACAACAGGGTTAACATCGACAAAAAAATCCACAAATAAATCTAAATAATTAATGCCATTTCCGTCTTTTTCGTTGAAATATACAAATAGCAGATCATAAATCTAGAGCAGAAAAAGCTGCTGCAGGAAGCAGGGTCTGTAGTTATTCATGCACCAATTCATCAATGTGATTATTGATCAAGATCAGGTAAACTGATATTAATGTTGCAACATTTCATTTGATCATCTGAATGATACCATACAACTGAATGACCTGTTGAGTCTCTGCATATTCAGGTATTTACTATGGAAAACAAACAACAGCAGGCAGCAGCAGGACTCCCCATGTTATTTCTCGGGTCGCTGGCCCGCGGTCGTCGGGGCCGCTGCGGTCAGCTCTTAGCCGGGAAGCCCTCGTTCGGCTGCGTGGGCTGCTTCACCGTGGACCAGCTCCCAGCAGCCGCTGGTCGGGAGAAACGCTCTGGCTGCAGCTCCGATCAGACCCTACCAACACCTCGCCACAGACAGCACCGCATTAAAAGCCCACAATTACGACCCGCTCCCCAAAGTTACAGTTCTCAAGCACTGATGAACACATACATAACCCACAACAGCTATGAAATGTGTGTTATTTACGGCAAAAAGGAGATATTTTTCAAGCCGACGTGCCAATGTTAACCGCAGTTGGCTTGGAAATGTGCTGATTTTATTATTTTTGTCAATTAAAATCCCCCTTGTTTGCTCTTACGTTTTACGAAAACGCAATATTAATTAAAGCACGCTTTAGTGATCAGCATGTAAAGCAAAGAAGAAATGTGAACATTTCAACCCATTTCGAACCAACCAGTAATATGATTTCTTAACACGGTGCAGCGGCAGCATTTAAAAACCAAAATATAGTTTTTACTCTCCAAAAAAAGGAGAAGACAGTCACGGTGCAGCAACCCATTTTAGTCCATTAATCTCTACAATAAATATCCAGACAGAGAATTTCTACGGCCTCGCTGTAAACTCCAATGTCACCCAGGACCAGTCTTAAAGAGACAACGCGCTTAAAGGGAAAGTGTGTAGATTTCTGGCAATAGGGGGTAGTAAATACCAAAGTCACTGCAAACAAGCTGTATTTTTTGTTCAAGTGAGGACCTTACTAACTAATGCTCATAAAGCCAACAAAACCCTCTGGACTCTAGCTGTAACTCTCAAATTAGGATATGAGATTAATGACTCTGGTTCACGCTCCAATACATTAATTGTTTGAGAAATGCATCTTTTTATGTTGAGTGCCATCCGCCAAATAACACACAAGAAAAGGAAGAAGAAGAGTGTTGTTGCACAGTTTTCAAAGGAGTCAAAAACCACCAGCAAAACGATAAATACAGCTAAATAAACATAGAATCCAACATGGCGTCCTCCAGAGAGTCGGACCCTCGCCTGTGTATTTTATTACTATGAAGGGTACATGAACTGATTAGGAACACAATGTCATAGGGTCAAAGGTCAAGGTTGTGTGAGGTCATATATATATATCAAAAATTGCCTGAACGGGTTGAATGATTTTGACCAAATCAGAGGTGATAGCTCCCTATCAAAGGTAGATAAACTGATCAGGTCACAACCTCATAGGGTCAAAGGTAAAGGTCGTGTGAGGCCGTATATATGAAAAATTGGTTTTTGTGTACAATATCTTCTGAACAGGTTGAAATACTTTGACCAAATCGCAGGTGAGAACTCCCTATCTAAGGTAAATAAACTCATGAGGTACAAAACCTCATAGGGTCAAAGGTCAAGGTTGTGTGAGGCCGTATATATGAAAATTTGGCTTTTGTGTGCAATATCTCCTGAGCGGGTTGAAGGA